AAAACCACACTAAGATTCCACCTCACCCCTGTTAGAATAGCCATCATCAGCAACACCACCACCAACAGGTGTTGGCGAGGATGCGTGGAAAAAGGAACCCTCTTACACTGTTGGTGGGAATGTAAACTAGTACAACCACTCTGGAAAAAAATTTGGAGGCTACTTAAAAAGCTGGACATCGATCTACCATTTGATCCAGCAATACCACTCTTGGGGATATACCCAAAAGACTGTTACTCCAGAGGCACCTGCACATCCATGTTTATTGCGGCACTATTCACAATAGCCAAGTTATGGAAACAGCCAAGATGCCCCAGCACTGACGAATGGATTAAGAAAATGTGGTATCTATACACAATGGAATTTTATGCAGCCATGAAGAAGAAAGAAATGTTATCATTGGCTGGTAAATGGATGGAATTGGAGAATATCATTCTGAGTGAGGTTAGCCTGGCTCAAAAGACCAAAAATCGTATGTTCTCCCTCATATGTGGACATTAGATCAAGGGCAAACACAACAAGGGGATTGGACTATGAGCACATGATAAAAGCGAGAGCACACAAGGGAGGGGTGAGGATAGGTAAGACACCTAAAAAACTAGCTAGCATTTGTTGCCCTTAATGCAGAGAAACTAAAGCAGATACCTTAAAAGCAACTGAGGCCAATAGGAAAAGGGGACCAGGAACTAGAGAAAAGGTGAGATCAAAAAGAATTAACCTAGAAGGTAACACCCATGCACAGGAAATCAATGTGAGTCAATGCCCTGTATAGCTATCCTTATCTCAACCAGCAAAACCCCTTGTTCCTTCCTATTAATGCTTATACTCTCTCTACAACAAAATTAGAGATAAGGGGAAAATAGTTTCTGCTGGTATTGAGGGGGGAGCGGGAGGGGTGGAGTGGGTGGTAAGGGAGGGTGGGGCAGGGGGAGAAATGAACCAAGCCTTGTATGCACATATGAATAATAAAAGAAAAAAAAAAGATTCTGATAAAATTCAGCATTTAAGGGAAAAAAAAAAAAGATACCAACATTAGAAGAAGTTGGAGGAAAGACATTAAAGAACTCTGTGCTTTGCAAAAAAAAAAAAAAAAAACACTCTTTGCCCAAGCAAGGGGGGTGGGCCTCTCTGATGGGAGAGCTAGTGGCTGGTCAGCAGAGATGGCTATCTGGGGTAGTCCATATGCCCCCAGAGAACCCTGGCTGAGATGGCTCAGGCCCTCTATTGTAAACACACCCCAGCTCTTCCTCCTTCGCACCAATTGCACACATCGTGCTGTTTCAGGCAGTGTGATCAACTTTCATTTTCGGACTATGGTGACCATGGCCCTAAGACACCAGATGGAAGCAATTCTCATGTGAAGGGTCCCCCTTGCTGCCCTTGTCCTGGCCCAGAAATCTGGCCTGTTAGCCTGGTGACCTCCTCTCCAGTACCCAAGAATGCTCCTCCACCTCCCACTCAATGATTGCCCCCAGTCCTGGACTCACAATACAGCTGGAAAAGCCGATGCCTCCCAGGCGGGGGCACACATAGTGCCACACACCAATGCTGCCACGGCGGATCCTCTGTCCCACAGCCAGCTCCAGGAAGAAGAGGGGGATGCCAATAATAATTAGCAGCACCAGGTAGGGCACCAGGTAGGCACCTGTGGGGAGAAAGGAGCGGTGTCAGGAGCATGTCGACAGAGTGAGGGAATGGGTGCACAGCCATGTCCTACAATCTTAGCCACATCTCAGGCTACCCTCACATTGTGTCTAGTCATGGGACTCCTCGGCGAATGGTGAGGCCCATTCTGTGACCTAGCCCACACTGACACATCCAGACCCTTTTCTCCTTGACTCCCCAGGCCTGAAACATGAAGGGAGGAACCATAAGGAATGTTTGTCAGTGCCTCCTGCTCCCAAGACTGGGACAGTGAGGTGAGACAAGCACCTCACTGCCTCTCAGAGACCCACAAGTCAAGTCACATGCAGACAGACTCTCACCTCATGAGCTACTCTGTAGGCACCTGTCCACACCTCCCCTATCCACACAGCAGCAGTCCCAGATGGTGTGGGCTCTGCTCATTTGCCCTCAGTGGCCTAGTCCCCACTGGTCATCCAGCCTGCTCACATCTGAGCCAGAGGTTGACACAGTAGATTGGACAGCTCTGGGGAAGCAGAGTTTGGAAGCTGTCCAGGGAGAGAGGATCTGATCAGCATCCTCACTAATCCACAGCTAATTGTGAGGAACGGGAAAGAAATGAGCTGTTCAGGAAAGTGTAGTCAGAAGGATCATAAAGGATAGAATAGCTCTCACTACAGATTCCCGGTGACAAATGAATCTCACTGTCCTAAAACCTCGCTGCAGATACAATCTCAATTCCAAGTGACAGGGCATTTAGCAGGAAAATTAAAGCCACGTCTGGACATGGACGAGTAAACCTTGCCGAGAACTGTGCCAACAACCTAGTCCTTTTAGCAATGCTGTCAGCGAGGCCTGCCTATCAGGCGAACAGTGTTAAGCCAGTCTGACTCAGCAGAGCCTTGATGGCCACCCAACACCTCCAGACCAAGTCTCACAAGTGAGACTTATTTCCAGAAGTCCCCCAGCCACACTACCCTGCCCCATAACTTCTTAACACCTCATCTTCTTAACACGTTCCCCTCCATGTGCCTAATCTGCCAGTAAACTCCGGGGGCAGGTATCTCCTGGGCACAAAACCTGGCACTTGGCAATAATCAGTCGTGTACTTCTCTGTGCCAGGCACAGGCATGGGGGGGGGAATGTTGGGGTAGCAGAAGGCACCGATGCCATCCTGAGGGAGCTCACGGTCTGCTGGGAGGCAGGAGTCTCAGATTCACATGGGTAGTGGGACTCGTCACACAGGCACAACTGAGCACATACAGACCGAGGGACAAGCCAGGGTCCAATGGAGCTAATCAGGAAAGACTCCCAGGGGAGGCCACCAACCCAGCCTTATGCAGCAGTATCTATTTATTACCCACCCACACATACATTCAACATGTCACTAACAAGCAGCCTCATCACGGTGCTCAAAGGAGGGATGACCCAAGTACCACAGATATAAACCTCTGCGTTTGTCTTTAACTCAGCTTCCTGGTCTTGGGTAGGGAGATGGAAGCAGAGATAAGCAATCTGCCACTGGAAGGCACAGGGAAGCAGCCTCCTTGCTAGCTCTGTATTTTTTCCCTGGTGTCCTTGAGAGCAAGACCTGCGAGATTTCAGGGTGTCAGCAAAGTAGGTTGGAATGTTCTATGAATGCTTTCTCCTCTCTGCAGAGAACGGGGGAACGCCTCCAAGAGTAATGCTGTAGCAAAGACTGGGGGCCAGCCTTATGCCACACCAGCTCTGTCCTCCCAACCAGTCCACAGAGTGCTGACCAGACTGCAGGCCTCTCAACCATGCCAATGCCCAGCCAACCAGGTGCTGTATCCAGTCTAGGTGAGCAGAATTCATACTTTTGGACATCAACCTTTGTTGAAATTATTTGGAAATTCAATAGCACCCTCTTCCACCTTAGAAAATACAGCTTGGAGGCACAACTGGATTTCCTTTGATGTTTTCATGGCTTTTGGCAGTCACAGCTCTAAATAGCTAAGGGCACCATTGAGGGCATTAGGAATTTAATGGAAAGAGGCAAGAGAGGAGTGGAATCCAGGCTCTCTGAGGTTCCCTGGATCTATCTATGTCTTACTCTATACTCGGCACCTCAATTTTGGCAAACCCTGGGTTTATTCCAGGGGCTTAAAAACCACCTTGGCCTCAGCCCATTGAGAAGGAGCTAAGATCCTGGAGTCAGACCTCTCAAGCTTGAATCCTGGCTGTGTGATTTACTGTATGACTTTAGGCAAATTTCTTGACCTATCTATGGTGTTATTTTGTCATCTCTACAAAGAGGATGAAAATATTATGTAGAACCATATGAAATTGCTAAGATATGACCATTTTGGCTTACAAAAATACCAGTTCATATGCTTAGACCCCATACATCTCTCTCACAGGGATGTTGTGAAGAGAAAATGAGTTTTATGCAAAGTGACCTAGTGGTGATGGTGAATATACTGAGTGAGAAGGGAAAGATGGAAGCCTCAGGCCTAACTGTCACACAGACTCTGCTGGGCATTCTCCTGACCTGCCCTTTAATACAAACTTGTACTAGATCCCAGCTGACTGGTCAGGCTGGGATTTGAACTCAAGCAGTCTGAAGCCAGAGCCTCCCCCACCCAAACCTCGCCTTCTGAATCAGGCAGAGAATATGTCCTAGAGAGGAGAGAAGGGCCCTTAGTGGGGCTGCATTTTTGGAGAGGCTGTATGTCAGGAATCCCTCAGAGCGGGGGAGGATGGGAGCTGGGTTAAAAATGCCTTCAAAGCTGTGGTCACCCAACAGACTGGAGTGTGGCTGTCCCAAGGTAGGAGAGTCAGGAGCCCGGAAACTCCCTCCTGGCTAGCTTTCCCAGGAGCAGAGGCTGGGCTTGGCGGGGAGTGGTTCTAGATTTTCAGTAAGTTGTCCATGGTTTCAAAGCAGACTGCCTTTGGAAAATCCTAGTTTGCATCCAGTTACTGGGAAGACAATGCCTGGGGGACGCTACCTGCCTTGGGGATGCTGATAGAGGGATTGACCTGCATCCCAGAGCAGCACACAATCCCCTACAGGAAGGCAAGAGGTGTGGTATGAAGTGTGCAGGCCGGGGTGCGAGTGTCCTGTCAGATGCTGCCTTTGTCACTAGCTGAAACTTTGATCCCACAAGACCTTGAAAAAGTTCCCTAGCCTTGGTTTTGCAGACTGTAAACTGAGACCATGATAACTCCTTCCTCACATAAGTTGTTGGGAGGATTTGATGGATGAACCACGTGAGCTTGGACTTGTGGTTGCTCCAAGATGCTCAGGCAACAGCAGTTTCAGAAGTTTGAGCCTAAAATCCATTAAGTGCTTAGAACAGTGTTCAGCACTGATAATAACAGCCAACAGGTGCTCTTTACTGCTGGCCAGGCATGTGTGTAAAGCTCACCTAATCCTTCAGGAGCCAGTATTTCTTCAATTTACTGGTAAGGCACTGAGAAGCACAGAGAGGTCCAGCAACTTGTACTAGATCCCAGCGGACTGGCCAGGCTAGGATCCGGACTCAGGTAGTCTGGGCCAGAGCTTCTTGATAGCTATGAGCAACCATAAGGCTTTTCTTGCAAGTCTTACTCTGAAATCCTCACTCTCACCTACCAGGGCTCCAGTGCTGCCTCAGCAAAGCGGGGGCTCCTTTTCACCCTCAGCCTAGCCCATTTTCAGGGCACCCTGATGCAAGCAGGGCTGCTTCTTACCTCCTCCATTTTTCTGGCACAGATAGGGGAACCTCCAGATGTTGCCAAGGCCCACAGAGAAGCCAATCTGGGCCAGGATGTACTGCAGCTTGCTATTCCAGGCTGGCCGGTCCTCTACGTCCAGCTCCTCCTCTGCTACCTTCTGCTTGCCACCTGCCTCGCCGGCCACATTCAGTATGCTCTGCTTATAGTCCACAGGCTCCTCAAGGGCCAGCAGGTCAGCCACTGACTCGGTGACGTGCTCATTGCTGTGCTCACGCTGGGTCACCTTGCTGTTCTTCGGCATGGGTGCCACAGGGGCTCTGCAGCCCTGCTCCCCTGCACACAGAGAAGGTGGGACCCCGCTGCTGTCAGCTCCTTCTCATCCAGGGACCTGTGCAACCAGGTGGGCAGGAGAGTGTTAGCTGATCACAGCAGGGAAGGGTGGTGGGGATCCTAAAGTGGATACAATCCACTTTTACACCCTCAAGGCTGGTGAAGGGGCTCCCCGTCAGGGTGCCTGCTGAGGGGTTCAAGGTCTAAGTGCAGTTTTCCCAGAGACCTTACCTGAGCATCGTGAGAAAGGTAAATTTAAAGAGCAAAACAGGCAATACCATACACCAAAACAAATAAAGGGTTAACAACTATCATCAAGCTTACCATGTTCAAGACTCTTTGGAGCACCTCCCCCTCCAGCCTTTCCCTTCCAGGATAGCCACCCCTCTTGTGCTGTATTTAGCCAAAGCCACTTGGGAGCACCCTAGGAAGCCAGTGTCTGTCTTCTCTAGGGTCTTTCTACTCAGAATGTAGCCGGCGGGCTGGGCATGGTGGTGCATGTTTGTAATCCCAGCTACATAGGGATTACAGGGAAGATGGTGGTTTGAGGCCAACCTAGGCAAAGGTAGCCAGATCTTAGCTCAAAAACAAAAAAAAAAGCAGAAGGAGGAATGCATGGCTCCAGTCCTAGCAAGTGCAAGGCCCTAAATCCAATCCCCAATACCTGCTCTCCCCCACCCCCAAAATGCAGTCTATGGATGAGAAGCTTTACCAGGAGTTTGGCAGAAATGCAGACTCTCAGGCCTGCCCCTGACCTACTGAATCATTTTCTGCATTTTTTCAGGATCCCCAGGTGATTTAAGGAGGACATTAACATTTGTTCCCCCTACCTCCAAAAAAAGGTCTAGCTCCCTCACTGTAGGGCCCCTGGACACCAGATACTAAGGCCCCTTCATTTCCCTGGCAGGAGCAGCTGCCCCAGGCTCAGCTAAGGATTCTGGCACCAGAGACCTAGAAGCATTTGCTTGGTGCCAACAAATCCTGGGTCATTGCTCAGCAGTGACATTATCTGAGGGCCACTGCAGCCAAGAGCTGGTCGTCCATCCTTCAGCGACATTTTTACAGCAGATAATGTCTGCACAACACAGGCAGGGGAGGCAGAACCCTCCCCGGCTCCTGCCAGTCCTCATTCTCTTTCCCTTAAAGAAAGAAAGCACTGAGAAAATGAGTTCTTTGAACAATCTGAACGTTCTGTTGTATTTCAAGGTACCTCCTCCTTTAGGCAAGGCTGAGGATTTAAAATTAAACACACACACACACACACCACTCTACCATTGCCCTGCATCTTTCTAGGGATGTAAATTAGCCACTCTGTAATTACTTTATTAAGGGAACAAGCTGTCTGGCAGTCAGGCTCAGTTCGTTCTCCTCCCTCCCGGAATGGCTGTACCACCTGAACAACACAGGCAAGGTCGTTGTGCGGCAGAAGGGCACAGGGCCGCCCTTCCTGCTGGACTTTGACCCAGACCTCCTGGCTGACTCCTGCAAAGATCTGACTTTTGAGGAGACCTAGCTAGCCAGGATGTTACATGTATGATAAAGCCTCAAGGGCCTAGCAGATGGTGACTGTCCATGCTAGTGTGGGGGACTGGCTAGACTTCCCCAAGCCAGGCTATGGACCACGTTAGCAGGTGACACGTCCCTGCCCTCCTCATTCAAGGGCAAGTGCTCTCTCCCATCCCAAGAATAAGACCCCTAGGGTCAGCAGGGCATGGTGGTACATGTCCGTAATCCCAGAACTTGGGAGGCTGAGGCAGGAAGATCGAGTTTGAGGCCAACTTGTGCTACATAGTGATACACTGCCTCAAAACAACAACAATTAAAAAAATACCTCAGGGTCTTGGGCCTTAGAAGAACCAGGACTTGAGCCTTAGAGAAACTGGGACAGAGACAGCCTGCCTAAAGGAGCTCAAAATTCCTCATAAGAAACTCTGTTGGAACTCTACGATGTATCAGCAGAACATTTCATAGTCTCCTGAAGGGTGTCCCCAAGGTGGCACTTGTGTGTCTGTGGACCCTTCAGCTGTCCCCCACCCTGAGGCTGCTGTGTTGCCCATGCTGTGTGCAAGTGAAGGGAGCCCCTGGGAATTGTGCAGTGGGGGAGGTCTTGTTCTGCCCTGGGCCGTCAGGATGAGCCCTCCACCCCCACCCCAGCAGGTCCCTGTCCCCAGAGCTCTCATATAGTGGAAAACTAAGGCATATGTAAGGGCTGCTTGCCTGGGTACCTCCTCCTCCCTGCTGGCTCACAGTGAGAGTTTTTGCTAGAGATTAGGGCTGGGGAGAAGGGTTGGGGTCCCTATGGGAACTGTATTCACTGGGGTGCCTTGACTCAGAGCCTCTCTCCAGCTAGTCTGCCTACAACAGGACTTAATCAGAATCTTCTGCAATGCATTAGGTCTGACTTACTGATCATCAAGCCACAAGTGGAGAAAATCAAGGGGGGTTCCTACCAGTCTGCAGAATTCATCTTAAAGCTGACCAATAATTGAAGCATGTTTTCCCATAAAAAGTCAGATGAGTGACAGCTCTAGTCACCAACATGAGAAAGGGCTGACAACTAAAAAGCACCATTTTAAGGTAGGAGGACTCACAGACAAAGGTTGTGCATTCTGGAAAGCTAGAGAAGGACACCTACAGCAGCATCCGGGCAACCACCGGGCCTTGCTCAGTGCTGCATGAGCTTCTCCTTCTCCCCAGTGTCACTGATGCATACATGTGTCCTGCACTGCAGGGTCAGGGCCAGAGGCACCCATGCAAACTGCTGGTGTAACCCTGCAGACTGAGGAACTAGGCTGCAATCGTGACTATATTCACCACCCAGTGATTATGCACAGGTGACAGTAGAGTCAGATTCCAAGAAATTAACACTCAAGGTACCCTAACAATTGCCCAACTCAACACCCTCATACCATATTTATTGAGCACACCAGAATTTGGCTTTGTCAATTAAGATGTGAAATGGGAGCTATTTACCATTATTCATTTAAAATATGTAAGTCCTCGTATTTATACTTGGTCAGATAAACCCCCTCCTTCTCCTCAGGAAGTTCAGGAAGGGACAAAGTGAGTTCAAAGTAGGTGTGGAAGTGGGGAGTAGAGAAGCATTTGGCCCATTTTAGAAATGTCCACTTTTCTTTTTGCAGAGTTGGGGATTGAACTCAGGGCCTTGTGCCTGCTAGGCAAGTACTCAGAAATGGCCACTGTTGTTTGTGAGAACTGGCCCCTCCTGAGGCTGCTGGCCAGCACCCCACAAAATCCTGCCACTCACCACACCCCAGTGCCCCAAAAGCCAGGTAAAGGCCATGAGCTCCAGATGTGGATCCAAAAATTGGTAATATTATTATTAATAAAAATAAGGCCTTGTGTGAAAAGTTTAGCCTTATTATTTTTAAAAGTATAGCTCATACATAGTATTTGCAATCATTTGAAACTATTCAACCACCTCTGGTACAGCTCATTCGGCCTAGGTTCAAATCCCTGCTTCACTGTGTACCAACTGCCTAGACTCCAGTTTCCTCATCCGTTCCAGAGGGATGTTAAAGTGCCCCCTCACAATGCTGGGGAGGACAGCCAGGCAGTCCCAGAGCTACAGGCCCCTGGGAGGCGCTCACAAATGCTCCTCTTCTTGGGCTCACATTGGAATTCCACCCAAGCCCAGCCCAGCCCAGGGGAGTAAGTAGGAAGCTGCCTTCACTCTGGGTTACAGATGGGGGTGCCCAGATCCTGTGTGGCACAACCATGGCTCACACCATGCAGGTCTCCTGCTCCTGTGCCCTCTCATTCTCCAGGCTGAACTGCTTCTTCAAAGGGGCAGCAACTTAGAACAACCCTCCTTCCCTCTGCCCACCCTCAGGCCCAGTTCCCTGAAGCCTAAAGTCGATGTGCCTGTGAAAGGCCAAGTTTCAGACCAGAGTTAGCAATGTAAAGTGAACCCAGCCAAAGGCCCCAAAGTATATCCTGGGACAAGCACCAGGATCAAAGAAGAACCCAGATGGGGTGACTCCTCCCCCATAGAGCCAGCCCATGATCCAGGCATTAATCAGTTATAAAAATTGACACCATACTCTATGCTCCCTGGACCTCAGTTTCCCATGTGTAAATGGATGGGTATGGATGACCTCCAAGGCCCCTTTCAGTGCCACCAAATGTCCAGCCAGTGCCCTTCCTGTAAGTGGGTGTGAGTCAGGCATCACCAGCACCACACATTAGGTACAGCAGGTTCTCTGTCTGTCCTGCCACCCTTTGTCAGCTGAGAGCCTGCTGTGGCGCCATGGGGAGGTGTTGACAGCCAGCTCAACCTACTCTAATTATGCCCCCTGTAGTAGCTGGGGTGGGTTGTAAAGTTGCTTTCACGAGCTGTGCATCAGATGATGAAGTTGCATGGTGCTCTCTGAAGGAGTGCCTCCATTACTTACTTAAAGCACAATGCAGAGGGACTCAAATGCTGAGCAAGCCTGGGTGCCATCTTGTCACTTAGCAACCCGGGCGGCTCACAGCTCAGAATAGCTCATGTGAGAGAAGCAAGACTGAGCAGTGAACTGTGACTCTTCTTCAAAGGAAGAAAAAAATAGTGCGACTAGGAGGCAGACAGATAAAAATATCTCCTGCCAGAGTGCCGACGGCTCCACAACTTTTCAAATGCAGCGTGTGGCACTCAGCTCAGGGGATAGGTGTGGCTGCTTTTGCCCTGAGACCAGGGCCGTGCCCGGAGCCCCCAATCCCACAGCTGCAGGAGATGGGGAGAGAGGTCATTCTGGGAAGGATATTGAGGTCAGCCACCACCACCACCCCCTCCCCGACCACCACCTCTGGTTCTGATGTGTCTCCTGCTCAGGAAGGTTGTGTCAGGTCATTCAAGGGACAAACTCTCTAGGGTAGCTGAGGGGAGACACTGCCATCTTTGGAAAGGCCAGCAGTCAACACCACTACAGAGTCCATGGGGCCTGCTTTACCCAGCCCCAGGGTGTGCCCAACTCTGCCACCTTCAGGTCTGTGGTCCTTGGTGTGACCCAGCCATCATGAAGAGAAAGAAACCTCTACACTATGGCAGGCAGGAAG